TGTAGCTGCAATTACTAAACAACCACGTAGAAAACTAAAGTATAAACTACATAAAAAACTAAAGTATAAATTGCATAGCACTATCAGTGTTAGCCAATAGCACCTATGAAGGCCTGCATAGTCCAAAAGGGGGTGGGGTGGCCAGCACCACGCCTGGTCGCCTTTGCCTCCCCAGTTTGTATACCTCGCCAGGTACTCATTTGAGGCCCAGTCGACCTACGGGATGCCCAGGACTGGTTCAGATAATCGTCACTGGTTTTGGCCGTGAGCGGGAATCGAATTTGGGTCACGGGGTTAATATCGTAGTGCGCTAACCGCTTTGCCACTGCTTTGCACACACATATACATAGCAAATGTCATGGCATGTATCAACATTTTAAAAACATCACCTCCAATTAGCACGGTTGACTATGTGCAGTGTGAAAGAAGTTCAACATATATCATACAACATTAAACTGTGCACATCGCCAGTTCATGTGGAATGCACTAGAACTGTCACATCTGGCACTTTAGTCGAGGTTGTCTACAAGATCATTCCATATTGAAACGTCTCGGTTTGGGTCTCCACCTCTATAGAAGAAGAGTTACTGTGGTGCCATGACAAAGGAGCAACTCCGCAAGCACTGTGATTGTCCACTACCCCCCCACCCTGAGCACACACACACACATGCAGCACTTGCACCCACGTAGTGTCCTGGCGGGGTATTGCCTGGCACATCGGGATTTAATCCGAAGGGCCCCTAGAGGGAAAGTCCCACGGTTTCCTGGTGCCAGGAGATTGGCCGACCCTCGCAGGACAGGTTACATTGCGATGCCCCTAAAATTGTTTTAAATTGTATGGGCGCAGAAAGAAACGGTTCCCTGGGCCAACCGGAACCTCAATGCGGTGTTGGTAATTTGAGTGTGTGTGTGAGGCGCGCGTGTATTAAAAACATACACGGCCGCTGACGCTCGCGCGTCCGTGCAGCCGTGCCGGGGGCGGGTCGAGTTAAACCACGCGTGATCGTTAAATGAATCGCCTGGAAGTGCACGCGCGTTCGCGCTGCCGCTTTAGAGCGCGTCTTAATGCGCTAGCCTGTATGTGCAAGCAAATTAGGGTTTAACCAGCCGGCAGGGGCGCGCGCGTGCTCGCAGCCGCCGTAGCATTAGCGTTATCGTGTGTGCGTGTGTGGAATAACCCCATGCTGCGGTGAGCCAGCGATTTAGCGATGTCCCTCAGAGGGGGCGGGTGATTGGGGGCCAATCACCAGGTTGGCGGGGGCCCAGCGGGGGCCGATCGACGCGGTGGAGGAGGGAGTGGAGGAGGGAGTGGAGGGGGCAAACGTTGCACCTCACCTGTTTAGCGAGGGCGGTGGGGCGGACGTCGGCCCTCACATTACGATGCTTGTGAGTGTGTTTGTGTTGGGAGTGGTAGTGTAGTTGTAAGCGTGCTGTGCTACAAACCCAGCGGCCCGAGTTCGATTCCCGCTCACGGCCAACACCAGTGACGATTATCTGAACCAGTCCTGGGCCTCCTCTTGGTCGACTGAATTTCAAATAAGTACCTGGTGTGATGTGTAAACACCTCGACTAGAGAGACAAAGGCGGTTGGGGGTTGTGTTGGCCACCCACCCCCTCGTGTGCTGTGCTGGCCTTTATTGGTGCTCGCTAATAGCACTTTCCCCAACAGTCTGTTAAGGCTACACGGGGGATTTTCGTGTTTGTGTATTTGGGACTGGCTAGAGTAAAGGGAATTTGAAAGTCCATGAGACTATAATTTTTTTACATTTTTTTCATTTTACCAAGTAAGCCCCACTGAGCTATGTATCTATTTTTCAGAAGCTACCTAGCCACAAATGATAGCCCAACAAAGTGGCTGATCACATGGAACTTTATAACAGACAAATACTCTATAAATGCGTGATGTTAATTCTAAATGTGGAGGGACAAACCAGAGGATCCTTGAGACAAATCCACGTGACCACGGAGAGAGAGACACGCAAACTCAAAATATACAGCAGGAGTCAGAGTTGTGACCGAACCCACAACTTCCTGTATACCAGGCGAGAGAGATACCATCTCGCCAACGTGGTGGTTTAGCTGGCAGCTGTGGTTCGGTACGAGACCCCGGGGTCCCGAACAAACTGAAGTAAAAATCGTAATTAACAAATTTATTTTTGGAGACTCCGTCCGATCACACACATAAACGCTGTGACCCACCTGGCGCAGATCATTCTGTTGTCATGTCGTCCAAGCGCAGCGAGGACGAATGAACAGAAGAGCTGAACAAGCGAATGCACTCCATGCTCGAGTATGGGCAGGATCATATGTCTTATTCAAAGCTGCTCAAACTGCCTACGACTTAAGTCCTCTCTTATCTTCATTATTATTTGTGACCTACCAATATCTGCAGCCAGAATCAATCGATGACAATCCTATGACCTGCAGATATTTAACAGATGAGATGCGTTGCACCGTTAATTCCTCCTGTTTGATAATACTTCTCTTGTCCATTTGTATCTGTGCAGATAGGTTTTTTTTGCGGTTAAGCCATAGTCCCCACATACCGCTCGTATCAATGCGGATAAGAGGAGCGGCGACCCACTACTCTGTAGAGTAACATTGGTATAAACGCTTGTTACAATATGAACAGCGCATTGAAAACGCGTACTATTTTATGTACTGATTTTAAGCTTTCGTGACTGCAGGAATCCATACACTTTGGTTCTTTCGGTAAAGTCACATAGGTATAAAACAAAATAAATCACGTTTCTGGCGCAACACAAGCATCCGTCATCAGGTGGGAAAGCATGGTCTGCTGCTGAGGCAGACTGTTTTAAAGGGTTTGAAACGGGTGTAGCCCAAGGGTTATAAAGAAGTGGCAGGGGCTAGTGATGTTAATGTGAGAAATTAGCATATAACTGTAAGATAGGAAAGCGGCCTCCTCGACGAGGGCACGGAAGTGGTTATGTTAATGTGAGAAATTAGCATGTAACTGTAAGATAGCAGGAGAGTGGCCTCCTCGACGAGGGAATGCAACCCAACGGGTGCAATCCAAAGGGCATGTGAGTATGAGAGTGCAATCCAAAGGCATGAGAGCATAAGATATCTAAGAGAGAGGCATAGAGAGAGACACAGAGTCGGAAATAACAGCTGACATAGGCAGGTAGGATGGAAACATCAGTCAGTTAAGACTGGTTAATAACGTCCTTCCAATGAATGCTCAGTTTGTACCCATCCTCTCGGTTGAAGTTATGTCTGTGTTTATATATCTGGATGGCTTCATGAACAAATCTCTGAAGATAGCCGGTAGGTTTGCAGAGTACCTCCATCTTGGAAAAATCTATTTCGTGTGAGCCCACAGCATTAAAACAATGATCGGCAACGGCCGAGGTATTGGTCCTACCGTTTTTCAGATCTGCCTTGTGTTCTCGAACGCGGTCCGAGACGTATCGTTTCATTTCCTCAATGTAAATGCTGCCGTAACCACAACTCAGTTTGCAGACACCAAAGTGTGTTCACAAATCCACACTGAGAAACACAATCATTGATAGAGGGGTGTAAATTATTTTTCGATAGTATATTTAAATAGAGGTACTGAAGGTAAATAGTTTTCAGTTTTAAAGGCATAGTTTAACAAGACAACACTTCTTCTTGGTTTTTTCGGTAAAGTCACGTAGAAGGGAAGTAATAAAAATAAAACATGTTAATGGGTTTGAAGGAGGGTGGCAAGTGTTGTCTTTCGATTTAAAGCTTTCGTGACTGCAGGGATTCATCTTCTTGGTTCTTTCGGTAAAGTCACGTAGAAGGGAAGTAATAAAATAATAAAAATAATACATGTTTTATTTTTATTATTTTATAATAATAAAAATAAAACATGTTTTATTTTTATTATTTTATTACTTCCCTTCTACGTGACTTTACCGAAAGAACCAAGAAGATGAATCCCTGCAGTCACGAAAGCTTTAAATCGAAAGACACTTGCCACCCTCCTTCAAACCCATTGGTGAAAAAGAGCAAAGTTTTTGTTTACATTACAATATAATATTTATGTGAGAGCCGGGGGCTTATGGGACCCGGGATCCCGCCATAAAGTTCATTTATCCCAAGCGCATCGCAAAACGCATATAGAATTCACAAGCAGAACCACCTTTTGTCGTTAGATAACAATTTAATGACAGCGCCATTAAATACAGTAAATAAATCGGGACAATTAGTTATATATAGTTTTATGACTGACAATACCCAGTAATGACCAGTCCATATTTATGACTAACACCCGATATATATGGCGACCTATTTAAAGGGGATTGGAATACGATACCGCACCCCTGTTCTAGGCTCACGCTCAGGATATGAAAAGCCTTTTTTGTTACATCCGAGTCAACAAAATCCATTATGGTTTCTGTCGCCGTTGGCTTCTCAGAGGCCAGCGCGAGCTCGCTGGGCGCGCGCTGGGCGCGCTTTGGGCTTACGGCCGACGTTGAATTCCTGCCCCCCACCCCTTTTCTATGCCGGCGTTCAAAACAAGGTGAGGTGGCTGCAGCCCAGCAGGAGAGGGGTCTCGTTGCGTCCGTGATCGATGGCATCGACTGACGCATGTGACGGTAGCCGTGATGTCAGGGAAAACTGTTGCGTTGCGTGATTTAATTAGGCAGCAGTGTGTGCGTGTGCGTGCACGGCCGCTGTGATGGCCCCGTGATCTCGGCTAAAGATGACTGCAGCCATTGGCGGTGGCGGCAAAGCATAACCAGGGGCGCTGTGGTACAATAAAAGCGTATTACAGCACAGCTACCTATTTCAACGGGGGGGGGGGGGGGGGCTATGCAATATCCGACTGTGGGCCCCCATAATTTTTCCCAACTTACTTTTAACTGAAATGCTACAAATGTTTTTAACCCGTATACAATAATATGTAGGCTATAACTATATATATTCTTTTAGTTGCACTGTGTATTGGGTTTAGATGAAGACAGTCTCACAGTGACAGTATTACAAATATTTAAAGGAACAATACTCACAATGAAGTTATCGTGCGTCTTGCTTTCATGCCGGCCCCATCGCTCTTGAGTTACCTCAAAGGGGGTGGATCGCGCAACTTTTTGCTGCTCTATTGATACGATAGCCAGATCCGTTAGTCGGGCTTGGTCCAAGGTAGACCGCATGTTATATTTAATGAATACTTTGTTTCGTAATACATTTTCTTAACATTTTGTTACTTGTTAATCTGTTCATTCGGGCCCCCCTTGTGACCGACTGGGCCCCTATGCATTGCATAACGCTGCTACATACCCCCAACGATAGTTGCGCTCCTGCATATAACGCACGGGTCGTGTGTGGGCTGGTGCAGTGAAAGTGATACATGTACACTCCCATTACATCGTTACACCGCCTCCTGGCTCTCAAGTTCCACCTCCTCGAAGACACCGGTGGTGAAACCCATCAACCGCATCAGAACATCAACAGGCCGATGCCGTGCATCTCCTCCATGAACGGAACATTAAAGACACAAGCTACGGCACTGCAATTGTGGCCATGCAACCCAAAGTATGGACCATATGGTAAATCCGTAGAGGACGTGGATAACTTCTTTTGCACGGTACGTAGCCAACCGTGCTGCTAGACCTCCCAGATTCTATGGTCTTCCCAAGATTCATAAAGAAGGCACCCCACTACGGCCCATCGTGTCCACGATCAACTCTCCTACCTACAAACTAGCCCGTTTTCTATCAGATACTCTGCTTCCCTTCACTGGCAAGACCTCTTCAGCAGTACTTAATTCAACCCAATTGGCCTCTATGGTTAAGGACATGACACTTTCTCCTGACGATATCCTCGTCAGTTTTGATGTGGTATCTCTGTTTACCAAAGTCCCAGTACCTGACACCCTAACAATAATTGAAGACTTGGTCCAACATGGATTTAATTCGGATGTACCTGCGCTGGTTAGGCATTGCCTCACAAACACTTATTTTACCTGGAATGTCACCTTCTACAAACAGAATGAGGGTACCCCTATGGGCCCCCCCTTGTCACCAGTGATAGCCAATGTGTTCATGGAAAAGTTTGAATCAGATGCCATCCAGGCGTCCACCCTGCGTACTTCCATGTGGAAGAGGTATGTGGATGACACTTTCGTCCTTTGGCCACATGGCCTCCCAGCATTGAACCACTTCCTGGACCACATCAATTCCAGACACCCATCCATCTGATTCACTATGGAAGTGGAGAAAGATGGCAAACTACCATTCTTGGATGTTCTGTTTGAGAGGAGACCTGATGGCTCCTTGGGACATTCTGTTTACAGGAAGGCCACCCACACAGATTCCTACTTGAAACCTGATTCCCACCACCACCCGTCTCAAAAGAATGATCTCATCAAAACACTATACCACAGAGCTCATGTCATTTCTGACCAACACCACCTGGCCGGTGAATTAAGACATGTACATCGGGCACTCAGGATGAACAGATACTCTGACCGCACCATCCGCCAAGCTGTTTCTCCTACCATACAGAAACAGCCACTTGAAATTCCGATCAAAACTATCACGTTGCCATACATAGCAGGCGTGACCAAAAAGATCTCCAAAATTCTAAACAAACATAATATCCAAGTCCGATTCAGTACAGCACATACAATCCGTGATCTAATTCAATCTGTGAAGGATGTCATTCCTGACTTGCAATACTCTGGAGTCTATAAACTGAAACGTTATATCTCTGATCGTGTCCGCGAGCACAAGTCAGATCTGAAACACGGCAAAATTGAGTCTTCCACCGTTGCCGATCATTGCTACAACGCTGTGGGTTCTCATGAGATTGTCTTTTCCGAGACCAAGGTGCTCTGCAAACCTTCTGGCTACCATCAAAGGTTTGTACACGGAGCCATCCTGATATACAAACAGACATAACTTCAACCGTGATGGGTACAAACTGAGTAATCATTGGAAAGATGTTATTAACCATGCAAAAAAGATTTAACTACACATATTTGGACCATCTTATTTGACAGGTACTATTCTAATTTACCGAGTGTTGACATCCCCAGCATCTAACAGCACTCTCCTTTTTGTATTTGGATTGTCAACCAACAACGGGTAAAACATCAACATGTGTACCTATTGTTCTCTTAGACCCCCCCCCCCAACACGGTTCAGTCATTGGCTTCCACATTCAGATAACCCCTCCCCCCTCCTCCCCCCTTAACTTGTATTTAAGAGCTTGCCTCTTGGAATGTTGCCTCACTTGAGACAGTAAATCTAGCTGTGACGGTCCCACCTGATGATGGAGACTTGTGTTGCCTCCGAAACGTCGTGATTTATAATTTTATTTCAATTATTATTTCTATAATTTATTATTTTATTATTTTTACCTACGTGACTTTACCGAAAAAAACCTAAGAGTACGTGTGGGGGAAGGACAACAAACTAAACACAAAAAGTCGTTCAAAATACATTAGTTTTCAATCCAGATTTAAAAGTGCATAGCTCCAGTGGCTTCCTAATATCGGAAGGAAAAGCGTTCTAGACGGCCACAAAAGCGCATATGAAATTGTACGATGCGGTAATCGTCTTTGTTCGATGGCCAGCCAAAAGCCGCTGTGAGGATGACCGGAGTTCGCGTGATGATTGATGCTCCTTGACGAGATCAGCATGGTATTGTGGTTCATTTGTAGCAAGCACGTTGTGTAATGAGTGCGACCTTATAATGTATTTGTTCAGCAACCACAAGCCAATGCAGCTTGGCGAGCACTGGACAGACACGGTCGGATCTTACAGTACTTGTCACGACATATGCTGGAGAATGTTTTTGCCAGACGTCATGTAGTTGCAACAATTGAGCGTTGTCGATAATATTCTCTATTGCCATAATGCGCAAGAATAGAAGTTCAACAGATAGTAAAGAAGCAGACGCCTTCTTTCCATATCTGTCCCTCCAGATACAAAATAAAAGTATTTCTTCACATCCCATCAATCATGCAGCCGCCTTCTGGACCGGTTTCAATAGTCAGTGCCAACATTGATGAATGTAACATCTTGTTGAGTCCAAATGATGGAATCGGTCTACACTTGTGTCTGTCTCTGTCTGTCTGTTGTTGAGTTGATCGTAAAAATGACAAAACGACCACGCATGCAGTTATTGTCAACTGGTGTTCAGGACAAGGCTGAGTGTTACACACCTAACTAAACAATTTTTATCTTACCAAATAAGCTATATAGTTCGTTTTCAGAAGCGACCTGGCCACAAATGAGAAAATCCACGCGACCACGGGGAGAGAAAACATGCAAACTCCAAATATACAGGTGTCAAGGATCGAACCCACGACCTCCTGTATACCAGGCAATACCTCCGTTTTTGTATTGTTGGATTCGCTTCCAGCTGCGTTCGTGTTTCTGCTATGGTTGGGTTTCTTGTCATGTGCAGATTTTATTTTTTCGTTGTGCGAGGTTAAACCAATGCTGGTGAACAGACGTTCATTAATGTCAGGACGCTCGCTCTCTGATAGGTATTGGGTTCGTGTTTTGGCATGTACCCACACAGAGAACTCATCTTCTTCGATATCGCGGATCCCCTTATGTACGGGGTTATCTGCGATTTTACTCCCGATATCTGCGGGGTAAACAATTTTGGGTAATTGTTTAGGATGGATATCCACAGTGGAGCAGTGCGAGGAAAGAATCAGAGAGAGAGAAGTGAAGCAAGTGAGTGGGTTCGTGGGTGGGTGTGTGAATTGAACGTAGTGTGATGGATAAGACGAGACAGTCAGTGGCTGGTAGACTGAGTCCTCAACATGGGTGGAGAAATCAATTAGCGAAGTTCACGGGAGAAAAACAAAACGAGCGATCGTGGTAGTAGTGATAGAAGAGCGATGGGGGAGGGACACACAGGGCAAGAGTGTGGTCTAGAAAAACCTGTGCCTGGCATGATTTAGGTGAGCTGTGAAAAATAAGTATGGCATCAAAAGTAGGCTGTTTAGCAGGGTTGCTCACACACACACACATCCCCGCCTCTGCGCTCACGGCGAAATAAAAAAATCAAGACTTGCGCAAATGTTTTAACTTCATGGACCTCTTTACATTTCTTGTGCACGTGTCTTCTCCAAAACCTACACACAGGCAGTCCATCGCTTAGCTTTTCGCCTCCCAAAGGGATCCCATGGTTTCCACTATCGTTACGTCAATTAACAGTACGTTTGTTATGCACGCGGGCGCCAATATAGGCCAATCCGAGCGCTCGTAAGTGGGCTGAGCGAGCCTCAGCCAATCAGCGACGCCTATTTATGAGTATTTCGACCTCGACTGGCTTTGTTTACATGTTTTCTGATTTGAAAACATGAAGTGTTTTTAACATGTAATTGTGAAACATGTAATACCTACATTCGATTAACAGTTATTTTGGTTAATAGTAGTTTCCGTCCAACGGATTAAAAACGTTAACTGAGGGACTACGATTGTATATTCAAAATATCTCAGCTTTGTGCAGACCATCGGCTAAAAAGGACTGCATGCGTGGCCATTTTTTTGTTTGTTTAGACACCAACTGAAAGAGTTTTAAAAATGTGGCAACATCCTAACAGGCAGCATTGAAATAGACACAGAGCTAATGAAAATAAGAACAGTTTTGACCCTTTTTGGCAATAAAGTGAGCAAAGATCGTGCTGCTCGCAGCAGACATCGCAGCTGTGTTGCGTTCTAAACGTCGTGATTTATTTTATTTCTACCTACGTGACTTTACCGAAAGAACCCAAGAGTAATAAAACAGGTGTTAAGATGTTCAAATACCAAATAGGTACCTTTTGCAAGGCATCAAAATTCATACTTGTGGCAAAACGTGCAAAGTGCTTTGGTAATATATGTTTGCCTTTGAAGCTGATTGGCCTACACCAAAAGTGTTAGACCAGAGAACAGTACAAAAACAATGCAATTATCAAAACACTTATAGCTCAGGTCGAGCAGCCATTCCTATGGGACGTTTTTGGCAGTATCACAATTAGCACGGTTGGTAACTTATGGTGCGAAAGAAGTTCAATATACGTACTAACTGCTATACACTATATCAAGGCCGTAGCCATGGAGTCAACATTGGGGGGGGGGGCAAATCTTCCAGGGGGTCTCCCCCCAGAAAACAATCTAAATTTAAAAACTCATTTCCTGCCATTTCCTGCCATTTCCTGCCTAAAATAAAAAAAAATTCACTAACACATGAGATGGACTTTTTTAAATAGTGTATTGTATTACATTGCTCTTTTTTATTTTTTACCTTTTCTTGTTTCATTGTATGTGTAGAGGGTTTGAATTAGGTGCATACACACAGCTTGGAACAGTAAGTAATATAACACTGTACATAAGGTAGTGACCACCTTCCTCAACTCACTAACACCCTGGAACACTATACAACGTGACCCAGGCAGGCAACAGGCTGCCTGG